TTTTCACTATTGTTGAACTTAAAAGCCAAAAGGTAGAAGCCTCTAGTGGTTCCCATTTGAAAATATGGAGTACACGGGACTACCAAGCTGGAGGAAAACCTTTAAATCTCATAGGCAGATGTGGGGATGCAATGAGAGGGTTTGAATAAAATTTGGACACATGTGCAATAGGACTGGTCAACCAACCCCAACAGCCAGAGGCACAACTGATATTCAATGCTCATTACAAGAGCAAACAATCAGTCTTGGTTTGGAGTTCAGCTCATTAATTCATTCGACAAACATTGACCATGACCATGGGTCATGCAACCCTGAGCTGGGATCTGGAGAAATCACGATAAAGAGGCAGCTGCTGACTCCCTATCATTGTTCCTTAAATTCAGTTGATGGTAGGAATCATCAGAGGTACATTTTGGAATGCAGATTTCCAGGCCCTTCTCTACCAATATTCTGATTCCATAGGTCTGTGGTAAACCCTGGAAATATGTGTTTTTACAAAATGCTTTTAAAAGATTCCTATTAAAGACAATTTGGAGAATTTTAACATAGTGAAACTATATCATCTCTTCACCCATAATTCCTTCTCATCATCCCATAGCTCCAAAAAGGACCAAGGCATCATCTTCCACTCTTTCCCTCCCTTAATTCACATCACTAAATCCAGCTGATTCTATCTCCTAACTATTCCTTGATTCCTTCACTTATCACCTTTCACCTGGACTATACAAGAGTCCCTAATTTCTCTCCTCAGTCAATTTTCTTCTGCCTAAGAATTCATTCTCTGCAGAGTTGTCAGTGTACACTTTCTAAAACATGAAGTTGAAGTGGTCTCATTCTGTTCAAAATCTCTTTGCAGCTCCCACTGCCTGAGAACCAAGGTCTCCGTGGCCTTTGATGATCGGCCCCTGTGCTCCTCCCCAACTCATGTCCACTTCTCAGGTTTAGGTGTGGGTACACTGTTCACCCTCAAGACTCAATTCCAATGCACTGTCTCCATGAAGCCTTTCCAGATGCTGCTAGATCATATTAGCTTGCCTGCCTCTGGCCAGAGCAAAGGCAGGGAGAAAAGGAAATATGACTTGAGATTAAGGATAACAAATGGCCCAGGGTGGCCAGAGAATAGGGCTGGGGACATAATCAGGGAAATAAAGGAAATCTGAGTTGCGGAGAATCTTAACGTCAGGTTGTGGAGGTTGGGTGGGTTTTATTTTGTAGAAATGGGGATGGAATCTGAGTCAGAGGAGCTTCACTGCCCTGGGAGAGTTCTTGTTATTGTTTGGTTATTTGGTCTTTCATATTTTGGAAAATGCAAAAAATATTCCAGAGTAAACAAAATAGCATAATGAAACCTCATAACTATTGCTTTGTGAGGAATTAAACAAATCTGAAACATTTTATTTACTCAAGGGGAGACAGAGCCTCCCCAAACTGATATGTCCTGATCATTAACTCTGTCTGGACACCTCTGCCCTGTCCTTCGGGTCTAACCACCCCTGGCTGGCACTTTCTTCTCGGGGCTTCTGCTTGATTCAGAAGCCGCCGCCTGAGGAGAAAGGGGAGCTACACCCCTCACCCTTGTGTGAGCCCCTGTATCCTCAAGAGGTGCCCGGTTGGCAAGACTGATGAGGGCACACTGTCCTGCTACCTGATCATTTAGTGAATTGAGTGCTAGAAGAGTTATGCGCTGAGAGCACAGAAACAGGGGCATTTCAGTGGACTTGGAGGCAGGAACGCACTGGATCAAGGAAGGGCAAGCTGAAGAGCCGAAGCCCTCGAAGCCACCGCAGGAGCCTGAAGCACCGACAGCCTTTGTAGGGCTTCCACAAGGGAGTGAGTGACACAGGCAGATTGTTTTGGGAAAAGCACTGGGGCAGAGTGAGGGAGACAAGCCAGGGGGTCTTGAGGATGGTGCACATGAGAAGCAGTGTCACTTAAGCCACAGCATCATCACGGTAGACGGCAAGCGCGGAGGACCTGATAGAGGAGAGGTGGGAAAGCAAACTCCACGGGCCCTCCTTGGTGACCACAGCTAAGGAAGCAGTCAGAGTCGGCAGCTGCTCCCTCCCATAAAACCTCTCTCCTGGAGCAGCTCCATTAATGCTAACCACCTGGCACCTGCCATTTGGTGGCCTGATGCTGGCCAGGCCTCCTTGGGTACCTTTCATGTGACATTCCTCCTTCCTCGGCTTTCAAGGGACCAAGGGCTACTGCCATGGCGCTGGGAGATGAGAAGCAGGCCCCTGGGGTGAGGAGGGGTCTGCTGGGGACGCACCTTCCCCGATGGGCAGGGCCCAGGGCTTCAGTTCCTACTGAGCTCAGGCACTCAGAGCTGCTGTGACAGTGACAAGCAGTATGAAGGCCATGTCTGTCCAGTCCCGTCAATGCAGGAACCCAGAGAAGGCAGCAACTCCTGGATCTGCACCCACAGGCGTGTCACAGAAGGACTGGAGGATGGTCTGGTGACAGCACCACCTCCTTCCCACGCTTCTCTGAGACATCGGGACAGGCATTGAGGCTGTTGACTCAGGAGCACTGTCTCCTTTCGAGGACATGTTGCACCTCCGCAGAGCACTTTTGCAAAACTATCTGATCTCCAGTCTCTCAAAATAACTAGAAAACCCAAAGCGTGACACATCACAACTGATGCTATTATTTAAGGGGGAAAAAAACTGTTCAGAGGGTTTTTTTGGTGTGTGTAATTTTTTGGCATGAATCTCTGAGAGCCAAAGTGAGGCCATGAAGCTGAAAGGGAAGATGGAATTGGGGTCAGGTTCATGTCCTGGTCACGAGCTCTCAGCTTAACCACAGAACCTCTCTAGTTTCTCAAAGGACAGAGATAATAATACTTATTTTGCAGGAGGTTCTGAAGTCTAAATAGGATAATTGGTTGTAAAACATTTTTTCAGGGGGCTAGAGTGGGAGAGGGAACATCTTCTGGTGTCAACCGTACATCAGTGGTTCCACACACTGTCTCAGTGGAATCTCCCAACCACAGCACAAATTATTTTCATCCCTCTATTACAAATGGAAAAGCCACTCGAGGTAGTTACATGACTTATCTCACATCACGCAGTCAGGAAGTGGCTGATGTTTTGAATCTGGGATCGGCTGCCATTTTGCAAACAGTGCGCACGTGTTAATTACCATAGGGCCCCAGTCCCAGGCTTGACTGCAGAAGAATCTTGAACGGAGAGATGAGTCCTGTGAGGCCTCGGTGTTCCCAGGTTCCCAGGGTATACTGGGCCCCCACCCGCAGGGCAGCAGGGAGGCTTGGAGGGTGGTGTTAGGTGTCTGTGGGAATCATTGAGTCCGCTGGTCATTTGGAACTGTTTCTCTTTGAGGGGTGATTTACATCTCTCTCTGCTGGGCCGTTTGATCTCTGGCCTCAGGGCTGAGTGCATTAGTGCGTCCATCCCTCCCCAACCCACGGGGCTCCCATTACCAGCCTTGGCTAGCTTGGCTTGACAGGGCTGGACCTCCAGCCAGGGCCTGACTTACAGCTGTGGTGGGCAGGCAGAAGGATGTTCGTCAGTATTATTTTCAGGGAGGCAGAGCAGTGGAGCAGAAAGAACATGAGCTCCAAGTCGGAGAAGCCAAAGTTCTCATCCCAGGCCCATAATTTACCAGTTGTGAGACTCTGGGGCATTTCATGTCACTTCTCTGAGCCTCTGTTTCCTTATTTGTAAAGTGAAGGTGGCATGGCCCACTTTGAAGAGATTTGAGGGTAGTAAAAAGAAATAAAGATCTACCTAGTATAGCATTGGCACTCAGTAAAAGGTGCCTGTAATTTTTGTTATTATTTCACCAGGAAAACTGGCCCCGAGACAACACCCCATTCTCTAAACATCAGCATGTACTTCATGTTTGTACCAGGTAAGTGAAATAGGATTTTGGGGGCTCTTTTTCCAGGTGGCAACCTGTGAGTCCAGTGCTGAAGACCACAGCAGTCTGCTAGGACAGGAGGCAGGGCCTGTTGGAAGAACCTGAGTGGGCTCCAGAGAACTGACTTCTGGTTCTAACTCTGCCTCACAGCTGTTGTGCCATGTAGCCCTCTGAGCGGTGGGGAAAAGGTGGACAAGAAGGGGCAGAAGAGGACTTAGAGCTCCCGGACCTCGGGCTGGAGAGAGGATCTCCGCAGCTGAAGCATCGCTCTCATCTGGTGAGAGTCCTCAGCTATCGTGTACTTAATGCCTAAGAGAGTGATTTACAAGAGCAGGAGAACTTCACTGAGAGTTGGAGAGCTGGCAGGAAAATTCTGGCAGGGAAGGTGGTCTTTTTAAAAAAAAAAAAGGGAATAAAAACAAAGGCATACTAACCCTGGCAAAGCAGATACCACAACATCACCACAAACTATCAAGTCAGGGCCCACAGATTGGGTGAGAGATAGCAGGGCACTTCAAACCCATTGGGTGAAAATCAGAGGACTCCTTGCTGCCGAAGGAGTTTGCTCCCACTTGTACCTCCGTGGCTAGGGGCACTGGCACAGGACACAGCAGCATGAGTGAGCACATTGGTCCTGAACACAGGGTCCCTGTGCATTCGCTCACAGCCCAGTACATATGGAGACCTGAGTCAGTCTCTACTCTCTGCTGACCAGCACAGGAGGGGCGGGACGATCCCTCTGGCCCTTCCAGGTCGGATGTTCCAGCTTTCTGTGCTTTCCAATGGGTGGCTGACGTCACTGACTACGTTGCTCTCCATGTGGCAAGTCCTTAGGGATGAAAACAAAAAGAGGGCAGCCCAGCCCTGCTGTCAAGCTCTAGCAGAGTGCTCAGCACAGACAGTGCTTTGTAAGTGACTAGGAACAGAATGAGTGTGCTGCTGGGCAGAGAGAGACCGAGCTAAAGTACAACAGGAGAAAGAGGATTATATGAGAGAAGTGAATCTACAGTCACTCCAGTAGTGGTCCCCAACCTTTTGGGCACCAGGGACCGTTGTGCTGAAGACAATTTTTCCACGGACTTAGGGGGTAAGGGGTGAGGGGAGATGGCTCGGAATGATTCAAGTGCATCACTTTTATTATAACTTTGTTAGTATTACATTGTAATATATAATGAAATAATTATACAATGCACCATTTAAAAAAGAGGCATGGACAGAAGTGGTAAATATTGGGTTAATGCATACGTTCACAGCGGTTTTTTCATTTGCCCATGGAATATAAATGTCGCATGATGGTTCACTGGTCACAGTTTATCACATTTGCCCATTCTTAGGTTGAATGACACAGATCATTGTGGATTAAAGCATTTAAACGGTCTTCATCAAAGTCTGATGGTCTTCCTAAACGTGGAGAATCACACAGGTCAAAGTGGCCCTCTTTGAAATGACAATACCATTTTCTTCCATGCTTTACCTGATGGCATTCTCTCCGTACACGGCAAAAATGTTTCGAGCCATCTCCACTGTCTTTACTCTTCTGTTAAATTCAAACAGAAGAATACGTCGGAAGTGTATATTTTTTTTCCACTTGACATTCCATCTTCTTTAGCCCATAAGCAGCGCTTTCTTCAAATCTGCAAAATGCAAGGCGAATTCACAAGCACAATTTTACTTCAAATGACAAATGACAAGCGATAAACAAACTCCCAACACCATAGTGTTGCCATACAGAAAACAAATGCTATGAACTTATTCACCAACCAAATAAAATAAAGGGCAGGCCACACGCAGACTGACTTTAAGCCTGCCACCAGATGCAGCCGTAACAATTGAAGTACGTAAGCTCACTTGCCACTCACTGTAGGGTTTTACTATGAGTCTGCAAGCAGTGAATTTATTATGGTTTCTGTGCACTCAAACCTCACTGCTAATGTTCATCTGTATTTGCAGCTGGTCCTAGCGCTAACATCACTGCCTCAGCTCCACCTCAGATCATCAGGCATTAGATTCGCATAAGGAGCATGCAACCTAGATCCCTGGCATGTGTAATTCACAATAGGGTTCACGTTCCTATGAGAATCTAATGATCTGACAGGAGGTGGAGGTCAGGTGATAATGAGAGTGATGGGGAGCAGCCGTAAATGCAGATGAAGCTTCACTCACACACCCGGTCACTCACCTCTGCTGTGTAGCCCAGCTCCTAACAGGCCACAGACCAGTACCTGTCCATGGTCCCGAGAATGGGGACCTCTGCTCTACAGGCATCAAAAGGTGACACCAGGTTCCGAGGGACAAGATGGAAAGAGGGTGGCTATGGGGTTCCAGACGCCTGTCAACCCTGACCTCCTGTCTCCCTGTAGAAGGCTGGCCAGGTATGGCTCTGGAGCAAAGCGTGTCTCAGTGCTTGGGGTCTACAAACTACTGGCATGTCCCAGGAAAGATGAGGCATTAGCCTACAAATCACATGGTCAGAGACTAGAGGAGTGGTGGGGGGATAATTGTTCTTCATGAGTTGAAAAACAAAACATTGGGAAGAAGGATGGAATCAGAGCTGTAGAACCTGATGTGCTAAAACCAGCCAGGTAATCTTTAACAGGGTAAGCCGCAGATTTGGGCTGAAGACAATTATTGACCAAGAACAGGGTCTCCTAATAGCTGGGGGGCAGCTGAGCAGCTTTTAAGCCTTGACAACTGCCAATACTTAAGGCTGTCCAAGGTTATATCAGTAGAAGTTAAAGGTCCGGGTGCAGGAAGGTGAGGACCTCGCTTCATTCCACCCCAGCCAGACCTACTTAGAGGATTGGGTTGGTCCAGGCTTCTTTTGCCATTTTGAACATATTCAGAGCAGAGAGACCAGGAGGATGAAGACCCTGAAGTTATGTTGCTGAAGCAGAGTTTAAGGGGCTCTGGCTTTTCAGTTTAGAGAAACCCAGTGGGACGTATTTCCAAATGACTTCATGGGGCGTTGAGAGATTTATCTGGTCTGGGGGCTGGGGTACAAGGAGCCGTACAGAAATGACAGGAATTAGCCAGGCTTGGTAGCTCAGTCTGTAATCCCAGCACTTTGGAAGGCTGAGGCAAGTGGACTGCCTGAGCCTGTGGGTTTGAAACCAGCTCGGGCAACTTGACGAGACCTCGTCTCTACAATAAATCAAAAATTTAGATTGGGCTCAGTGGCTCAGCCTGTAATCCCAGCGATTTGGGAGGCCAAGGTGAGTGGATTGCCTGAGCCTGCAGGTTCGAGACCCACCCGGGCAACTTGGCGAACCCTTGTCTCTACAATAAATTAAAAATTAGCCGGACGTAGTAGCGCACACCTGTAGTTCCAACTGCTTGGAAGGTTGAGGTGTAAGGATCGCCAGAGCCCAGCAGGTTGAGGCTATGGTGGCTGGGAGCGTGCCACTGCACTCCAGTCTGGGTGACAGAGTGAGACTCCAACTCAAAAAAAAAAAAAAATTAGCAGGGCGTGGTATCACGCACCTGTAGTTCCAGCTGCTTGTAAGGCTGAGGCAGAAGGATCGCCGGAGTCCAGTAACCCCAGGTTTAGATTCAGCCCAGCTGTGGAATTATGGCTGGGCACAAAGCAAGCTTGCATCACCCCTGGAAACATGCAAGCAGGAAGAGCCCACGCCACTTGGAGGCGGGAGAGGGTGTGATGCACCCGGTGGAGGGTTGACACCCTCTTTTCTGCATCTTTGAGATTCCGTAGTTATATGGATTCTGCCAGTGTCTGAAGCCCATTCATTCTGACAGTACGAGATGAGCCCATCCTGATGAGGAAGACATCAGCTGGCAGGGTCTCCCTTGGGACAGTGTGGACTGTACATGCCAGTTAAGGCCAAGGTGCTGAGCCTCCCATTTCCACCAGAGGTGATGTCACCATGGAAACACAAGCATTCCGGCCCACACCTTTCCAGGTCACTGAGCTGTCCCTGCAACAGGAAGAGCATTTCCTGGCCCTGGTCTCCTCTCAGGGGTCCCAGGCTGGGTATCCTGTTTCTGGTCTTCCAGGGCATCCTGTGGTGGTCCCTGGGGCCGCTGGAGCCCCACAGGGGGCCGCCCCAACAGAGCACTGCGCTGGCCACAGAAAGAATGATGCCTGGATCAGCTGAGAAAGTAGGCAGGCAAGAGCCCAGCCCTGGGGCAACCTGGGGTGCAGTGCTTCCCGCAACAGAAGGAAGCAAAGCCCACACCCCCAAGATGAGCCAGCCCGGGCTGCCAGGCAGACCAGAGTGATGGGGGATCCAGGGAAGGCCCCTCTGCCCTCTTGTGATAGCCCTTGTTCCTCCTCCTCAGCTAAGTCTCATAAAATCCCTCTCCCAGTGTGTTCAACAGTGCCCTGGAAACCTTCCCCAACACCTCCTCTGTGCCAGGCCACACAACTCACTTGGTTACAGGCCCAGAAGCGGACTTGATGGACACACAGTAGGTTTTTTAAAAAATTCTTATTGAACAACTGAATGAATGGGAAGTGAGCAGGGGCCAGATCACAGAGGGCCTTGAATGCCATATTTGAGCTGGGACTTCGGCAGCCATGCAAGCTCGGGAGAGCCACTTCTCTCGTTCTATCTTATAAAGAGACTAGGGACAACCCTGTGAAGACCAAATCCCAGGGTGCAGAAATATGCGGGGGAGTTTCTAGCTGTCTTAGCTCCCTTGTCTGACAACTCCTTGTCGGGCACCCACCATGACTCTGCTGAGCAGCACATTCAAATGAACTTCAGAAAGGAGGTGAAGTGACATTATTGAAAGTTCAAAGTGGTCATTGTTCTTGAAAAGGAGGGCAAATTTCACTTTTCCTGTTTCTTTTGTGATTTTATGGAGTTCAAACAAGCTTGTGATTTGCAACCCCACAGCCCGCACTATAGTTGCCAGCACAGATCAAAAATAGAGTCATCATTTCTTTATTCAAAAAGGATGTATCAAGTGTCGAAGTAATGCCAGAAGTTGGCTGACCATGGCTGCCCTGACAAATAGGTGAATCCAGGCAGGTCAGCCCCTGCCGCTCAGCCGTGGAACGGAATGGGATCCCTCGGTGGGACCCTAGGAGGCAGCAGTGGCTAGCCAGAGCATAAGAGTTGCAGTCCAAGAACCCAGGGCTCCAATCACAACTTGCCCCTCACTGCTGTGGATGCTGGAGAAGTGATCTAAGCTCTTTGAACCTTATCATTTTCGTTAGTGAACGTTCACACCAACACCTTCCATAAACTCCTCCCTGGAGTGGATATGTGTTGTCTGACCACTCAGCATCCACACTCCTTTTCTCTCACCACAGCTCTCCAAATCCCTTTGGGGGAGCATCTTCCTTCTGCAACCCATCTGTGGGGCTCCCGGCTCTACAGGCAGAGGGGACATCTGACCTAGGACTGGCCAGTGGTGTACCTATTCCGCCAGCAAGTGACTGGTCATGACTGGGCACATGTCCCAACTGTTCACATTGTCATAAGACATCCTGGGTCTTGTGCAAGAGCCGCTCTCTGTTTTTGCTGGACTCAGAATGAAGCCAACACAGAACACAGTTGAGCCAAGGAACACAGAGAAGCCAACTCCCATTGCCACCATGTGTGCTCCTGGATTAAGTCCCGTCTGAGGCCACCTCTGAGCCTGAACTTCTGTTATGTGAGTTGACACATTCCCTTTTAGCCTAAGCCAGCTGAATTGAGCTGAATTTTCTGTCATTTGTAATCTGAAAGTCCCCGATACAAATCTAAGTATCTCGTTTTCTCTTTATGCCATCTTAGTGAAGCAGGAATTACTCAGAGGGTCTTTCCAAGAATGTTTTTTTCTTGGTGCATGCTGGCATAGGGGGCTAGTTCACACACCTGCTTAAATAAGTGAGCATTCCTACCTCGAACACTCACTGGTGTTCATCCTTCAAGGTTCACCACTGTCACCTCTACATAGAAGCCTTCCCCGAATCCCCAAGCTGGGTCAGGGGCTCTCTCCATCATTACACTGGTAGCTTTCATTTTTACTCTCTACTTGTCACTCCCGTGCATTAGGAGAAAAAGGGCCTGGGTATTCATTTATGTATGCATAGCACCCAGTCCAGTGCTTGGCCAAGCCGATTCCATGAAGAGTAAATGATTGATGAATGAATAAAGTTGGTGAGAAAAACTCCCATGTATGGACATGAGATTCATATGACCCCACCACCAGATATGGAATGTGTATGCTGCAGAGACCACTGGTTGCCCCAACATCCAATTTTCCACTCTGGCTGGAACTCAGAACCCCAGTATTCCCAGATTTTTCTCTTAAACCCTCCATGTTCTAGCCTCCCTTGTGGAGAGGTGGCCCCAAGTTCTGGTTAATGAGATGTATATAGAGTTGTTGCATCAGATTTCTGGGAAGACTCTTTACAAAGGAGACAACCAGGTAGGGAGCTCCCTTTTGGGCCTTGTTTTTCTCTTCCTTCCTGTCCTTAACACAATTGTGATGGCTGGCACTTCCAGCAGCAAGCTAAGATCATGTGGATCTTTGAGGGTGGAAGTCGTGGCTAAGTATGGCAGAGCAGAAAGCCAGAAGGAACCTGGATCTCTGATGATGAAAGCTTGACTTTGCCAGCTCCAGACTGCCTGCCTTTTCACCTTTTTTAATATTAAAAGCAACAACAAATGCTTTGTGTCTGAGTCACCATTTTTAGTGCCATTGTATGCAATTGAACCTAATCCTAACTGATGTATCGCCAACTTTGTATACTGTTATTCATTGATAGTATTTCTTTCTCTAATTGTGAAATGAAATTTTAAAATCTATGTCCAACATTCTGAGTAGTGCATGTGCCAGATATTGTGGTGGCAAATAGTAGGAGACATGATATAGGAAAGAGGAGAGACATTTTACAACAGGTCAAAATACAAGTACCCGCTCATCCCTGTCCCTGGGGGAAAAGGGGGTGTTGTTTTAATTATTTTGCATATGGGAAGTAGAGGGTGCTAATTTTATTTAAAATTTGTGTTTATTTTTAATCTCAATCCCATCCTCATGTTCCCTCAGCAGCGGGGGGAGGGGAAGGAAGGCTGTGGGTGATCATGATTTCTCCCTGTCTTCCTGCCACAGAGCCGTAGTGGATCAAAAGGCCAAGAGAATGAGGAGACTTTGCTCCTTCAGAATAGCTCCTTGGCCCCCTGAAATGAATGACCAGTTTCTTTAACAGACTTTTCCCTCAGCTCACATTCCCCATGGTTGGTGAGGCAGAAAATTCACATGAACAAAGCTCTTGCCCTAAAAAGATCTTTCTTTCAATTTAGGGTCAGTTCCACATTTGGGACTTCCAGAAGAGTCACCTTTAAATTAAGAAAAGAAAAAAGAAGCTGTTGCATATAAGCCAGGAAAAACCACACACGACTGTGCACAGTGTCTTCACCCCGCCCCACACCACACACACACCTTTCGTGAGAAACTCATGAATACAAGCCCCGAAAGCAGCCTCCTAAGAGGTGGGGTGGGGGGAGGTGCCTGTAAGACTTGGAGCCCAAAACACTGGATTCACTTCCCTACCAACTGTGAGTCTTAGGGCAACTTCTAGGGGCCTCATCTAGTCCTTCTGAAAAATAGACAAATAGCCTGCGTCCTGCCTTCCTTATAGTGGTGGTGTGAGGCCGAGAAGGGGTGACATTTGTGAAGGCTCTGTCTCCTCTCCAGCCCCCAGGACAGGTGGCCGTCACTCCAGCCCTAACATGTGGCATTCTGCTTTATAATCTACCTGGGATCACCTTCTCCACCCAGCCTTTCAGGGTGTCAACATGCACTTGGGTTAATTAAAGTCAACATTCTTCACAGTTCACCCCTTATAAAGCATCAGGAAGCTTGGAGCTGGGTTGGCTCAGCAGGGAAGCCACTGCTGAATGCTTGCTCCTATCACTTGGGGACAAGATTCAGTTTTGGGCTCTCTGGGATCAGCTGTTCCCTCCCCGTAGGTGGTATCCAGTCTCTGGGGCCCAGGAGAGGGGGTGTGGCAGATGAGCATGAACTCTGCACCCAGGGGCCAGGTCAAGGTGATCAAGTTTCTCCCAGTCAGAAACTCCATCACCCCTGGCTCCAGGGTAATAAACTCAATCTCAGGGCTTGAGCTGTAACACGGTTCATTTCTGGGCCAGATCTCTGAAGCTGAAGGGTTTATTTTTAAGGACAAGCAGTTTGCTGTTTTCAGCTTTTCTCATCAGAAATAGTGCAATTCAGCTCGATCTGCATTGGAAGCATAATTTATCATCTCACACAGATGGTTGCTAAGGGTGGGGAGGGGGCTTACTTTTCATTTTACTTCAGCAAACATTTCCTGAGTCCCTACATGTGCCAGGCAGAGCAAAGTACTGGAGATGCACAGATGAGTAAGATCAGCTTCTGATCCTTGAGGCACTCACAGCCTAGGTAGGGGACAGATGCACAGCCCAAGCTTTGACGTCCAATAGTCCTGCTTTGGAATTGTGGCTCTGCCATTTGTTACTGGAGTCACCATGGGAAAATGTACTCGCGTCTTTCTAAGTTAAAGTTTTGTCAACTTTCTTGATCTCAAAATAACCTTTGGTTCTACTGAATTTCTCTTATTTTTCTATTCTCTATCTCATTAACGTCTACTCTAACCTTGAGTATTTCCTTCCTTCTGCGTATCGTGGGTTTAGTTTGTTCTTCCCTACCCACCGTGC